GACCATATATTCTGTCATAAAATAAGTCTCAACAGACGTAAGAAGACTGAAATAACCCCATGCATCTTGCCAGATCACCACAGATAAATCTGAACCTCAACAACAACAGAAACAACAGAAAGCCCACATACTCATGGAAACTGAATAACACTCTACTTAACAATCAGTGGGGACAGAGAAAAGAAAGAAATGAAAGACTTTCTAGAATTTAGTGAAAATGAAGGCACAAAATACCCAAACTTATGGGACACTATGAAAGCATGGCTAAGAGGAAAGTTTATAGCATCAAATGCCTCTATAAAGAAATCGGAGATTTCTCATACTAACATATTAAAAGTCCACCTGAGGACTCTAGAAAAAAGAAGCAAACACATGCAGGAGGAGCAGATGGGAGGAAATGATCAAAGTCAGGGCAGAAATCAATTAGAAACTAAGAGAACAATACAAAGAATCAACAATACTGGGAGAAAATTCTTTGAGAAAATAAACAAGATAGACAAACCCTTAGAGCAACTAACTAAAAGACAGAGAGACAATACTCAAATTAACAAAATCAGAAATGGAAAGGGAGACACAACAATGGATACTGAGTAAAGTCAAAAAGTCCTTAGGTCTTATTTCAAAAGCATGTACTCCACAAAATGGGAAAATCTTATTTCTAGCCAGAAACCAATTACAAAAGCTAAATCAAGACCAGGTAAACTATCTGAATAATCCTATAACCCCAAATAGAAGCAGACATTAAAAGTCTCCCAACCAAAAAAAGTCCTGGGCCAGGTTGTTTCTTTCCTTCCTTCCTTCCTTCCTTCCTTCCTTCCTTCCTTCCTTCCTTCCTTCTTTCTTTCTTTTCTTTCTTTCTTTTCTTTTTTTTCAAGAAAGGGTTTCTCTGTGTAGCCCTGGCTGAGAATTCTACTTTCAAAGAACTAATACCAATACTCCTCAAATTATTCTACAAAATAGAATCAGAAGGAACACTGCCAAACTGATTCTATGAAGCCATGGTTACACTGATACCTAAACCACACAAAGAATCAACAAAGAAAGAGAATTTCAGACCAATTTCCCTTATGAACATTGGTGAAAAATACTCAATAAAATACTTTCAAATGGACTCCAAGAACACATCAAAGCCATCATCCACCATGATCAAGTAGGCTTCATCCCGGGGATGCAGGATGGTTCAATATACAAAAAAAAACCATCATTGTAATCTACCATATAAACAAACTGAAAGAAAACAACCACATGATCATCTCACTAGATGCCAAAAAAGCCTTTGACAGAAAAAAAAAATCCAACACTCATTCATGTTAAAAGTCTTGGAGAGATGAGGGATACAAGGTACATGCCTGAATAAAAATAAATAAAGGCAATATGCAGCAAGCAAACAGTCAACATCAACTTAAATGGAGAAAAACTTAAAGCAATCTCACTAAAATGTGGGACAAGGCTGCCCACTCTTTACCTATCTCCTCAATATAGTACTTGAATTTCTAGCTAGAGCAATAAAACAACTAAAGGAGATCAACAAGATACAAACAGGAAAGGAAGAAGTCAAAATATCACTATTCACAGATAATATGATAGTATACATAAATGGTCCCAAAATTCTACCAGAGAACTCCTACAGCTAATAACCACCTTCAGCAAAGTGGCTGGATAAAAAAATTAATTCAAAGAAATCAGTAGCCCTCCTATACACAAATGATGAATGAGTTGAGAAAGAAACTAGGGAAACAACATCCTTCACAATAGTCACAAATAATACCTTGGTGTGACTCTAATCAAGCAAGTGAAAGATCTATATAACAAGAACTTCAAATCACTGAAGAAAGAAATCGAAGAAGACCTCAGGAGATGGAAAGATCTCCCCTGCTCATGGATTGGCATGATTAATATAGTAAATATGGCCATCTTACCAAACAATCTACAGATTTAATGCAATCCCCATCAAAACTCCAACACAATTCTTTGCAGATCTTGAAAGAGCCATTCTCAACTTCATACAGAAAAACGAAAACCCAGGATAGGTAAAACAATTCTGAACAGTAAAAGAACATCTGGAGGTATCATCACCATTCCTGACTTCAAGCTGTATTTCAGAGCACTAGTAATAAAAACCTCACAGTACTGGCACAAAAACATACAGGCTGATCAATGGAATCGAATTGAAGACCCAGAAATAAACCCACACATCTATGGATACTAGATTTTTGACAAAGAAGCCAAAAACATACAATGGAAATGGAAGAGCATTTTCAACAAATGGTGCATGTCTAATTGGATGTCTGCCTGTTGAAGAATGCAAATAGATCTATCACCTTGCACAAAATTCAAGTCCATTGGACCAAAGACCTCAATGTAAAACTAGATACAATAAATCTAATAGAACAGAAATTTTTGGAAATAGCCTTGAACTCATTGGTAGGAGACAACTTCCTGGACAGAATACCAATGGCTCAGGCTCTAAGATCAACAATAAATGGGAACTAATGAAGCAGCTTCTGTAAGGCAAAGGACACTGCTACTAGAACCAAACTGCAGCCTACAGATTGGAAAAAGATCGTCACCAACCCTACATCTGACAGAGGGCTAATATCCAAAATATATAAAGAACACAAGAGGTTAAGACACAATCAATCCAAATAAACCAATTAAATATGGGGTACAGAGCTAAATAGAATTCTCAAGAGGAATCTCGAATGGCTGAGAAATACCTAAAGAAATGGTTCAACACCCTAAGTCATCAGAAAAATGCAAATCAAAACCACTCTGATTCCATCTTACCCCCATCAGAATGGCTAAGATCAATACCTCAAGGGACAACACATGCTGGCATGGTTGTGGAGCAAGTGGAACAGTCTTCCACTGCTAGTGGGAGGGAGTGCAAACTTGTAGGTGAACTCTGGAAATCAATTTGGCAACTTCTCAGAAAATTTGGAACAGATTTACCTGAGGACCCAGCTATACCACTCCTGGGCATATACCTAAAGGCTGCTCCACTATTCCACAAGGACACATGCTCCACTATGTTCACAGCCCCCCTATTTATAACAGCCAGAAGCTGGAAAGAACCCAGATGTCCCTCAACTGAAGAACGGATACAAAAAATGTGGCTCATTTACACCATGGAATACTACTCAACCATTAAAAACAAGGACATCAAGAATTTTGTAGGCAAATGGATGGAACTAGAAAATATCATCCTGAGTAAGGTAATCCAGATCCAAAATGACATTCATGGTACATATTCACTTATAAGTGGTTATTAGCAATAGCACAGGATAACTATAATTAACAAACCCAAAGAAGCCAAATAACGAGGGCCCAAGGGAGAATGGTTGAATTTTTCTCAGAATGGGTAACAAAGTAGATATTGGAGACCAATGGAAGGAGGAAATGGGATGGGAGAGGGGATGGGGAGGGGAGCCGTGCTTGGGGGTTCATATATATGGAGATCAGGGAAGGGAGAGAAGGGAACTCAGCAGTGGGAGGCAATCTCTAGGATATGCCAGAGGCCTAGGATGTGGGGAGCCTCCTCCAGGGGTTCTATGGAAGCAGCTCTAGCTGAAACTCATAATTGGGGTATATGGACCAATAAATAGCCACTTCCTGTAGTCAAGCAGGATTCCCAGTGGAGGAATACGGACAGCAACCCACCCACAAAACTTTCAACCCAAAATGTGTCCTGTCTACAAGAAGTGTAGTGACAAAGATAGAGCAGAGCTGGAGGGAATAGCCAACCAATGACCAGCCCAAACTGAGTCCCATCCAGTAGGCAAGAACCAATCTCTGACACTATTAATGATACTGTTTTACTTGCAGACAGAAACCTAGCATAAATGTCCTCTGAGAAGTTCTACCCAGAGGTGCAGAGACTCACACCCAAACATTAGATGGAACTCAGGGAGTCTTACCAAAGAATTGGGAGAAAGATTGAAATTGAGGGACCAGAAGACAGGTACTCCACAGGAGACTGAACCACCAACCAAAGAGCCAGGTGGACATATGTAGCAGAGGAGCGGCTTGGTTCCCAACAGGAGGAAAGGCTCTACCTGAATCTGTTGCCTGTCTTCCTGGCGGGTCTCATTCCCCTAAATGGACTGCCTTTTCTGGCCTTCATGGGAGAGGATGTATGCAGTCCTGCAGACCTGATGTGTGGCAGTGCAGGGGTAGGGGGTGTTATCTAGAAGGAGGACTCCTCCTTCTCAAAGGAGAAGGGGAGGAAGGAATGGGGGGAGGTTTTACATGAGGGGGGACTGGGAGGAGAGGGGCAGCTGATATTGGGATGTAAAGTGAGTAAATAAATACATAAAAAAGAAAATTCAAAAAATTTAAACAAATTTAGAGCCACTGTTGGTGCACAGTTTTGGAGGCCTCCAACTACGGTGTGGCTTATTTGTTCTTTGAAACTGTTTCTTGCTGTGTAATTTTCACTGGCCTCATCTCAGTGTCCTAGGTGCTATGATTACTCTGTTGAGGTTGGCTAGGAAAAAGGGATGTTTCTATGTGCAGATGGGAAAATGTTATTGCTTTAATTGCTAAAGAATGAAGCACTGGTAACTCTGAGAGGCGGAGTATACAGCTCCCCTGGTAGCACTTGCATTTAGCCTTCTCCAGGTTTCTACCCTCCCTAGTGGAGAGGCTGGAACAACAGGTGTTTTGAATAATGCATTCCTACCACTTTTCCTGGCTCACACTTGTGACTTAGGTTATGTCCCCCACCTCCACCCCGCCCCACTTCATAATGCCTGAAGTTTGTAATACTTCCAAAATCCTGGGGCCTAATATTCCTCGAAAAAATCATCAACCCGTTACAGGGGTGCATACCCATTTCCTTGATTAACCCAACTTCATTTGAGCCTCAACAGTTCTGCCTCTGAGAAATGGGCACCAACTACTGTTGGTAAGTGGATCACTGTGGTCATTACCCATGGTCAATGACTTGTGTTTTATGGTGTAACCCTGTGTTACAGGAAAAGTCAAGGAAAGACCTGAAACAGATTTAAAACATACAAACTTTTATTAAACAAACCTGGACTCAATAATAGTATTTTATAAATTAGACAGCAGAAAAAGTTTTCCTGGGGCAAATATAGAGAGAGATATAGATAGATATATACACAAATCACAGTGATTTTTTTGTAATTATGCATCAGGATTAGAAAGTAAGAAAAAAAACCAGGCTTTTTCATTCTACATGGTAAGTTCAGGCAAGCTGACAGGCGCTCGGCAGCAGCGGGGTGCACCTGCACAGTGCATGTGGCACCTGTGTTATAGCAGGTCAAGTGGTGATCCCCACTCTGAGAAGAACGGAGGTTGATAAGGGGGTTTGAGTCTGACCTGTGAAGACCAGGAGCAATGCTCACTTCCTGTAAGTCACACAGGTAATGATATCTATTATATAACCAACTGGAGTAACTCCCTCACCTCCCAAATGACAGTGTGAGGTTGGATGCAAGGTTGTGAGATTTACAAGGCAGATTTGATTGGAACATATAACAGTTGGGGAGCAGATCCTCCCCCTAAACTGATGGGGATACACACAAACTAATGGGGGATCCCCCAAACTGATGGGTGTACCAATCCACACATAAACCTTGACGTTGCATTATAATTTTCAGGTGGTTTACAGTGTGTCTGACAAATAAGAATGACAGGTGACAGATGTTTACCAAATGCTTCCTATGGAGCTTCATCAAAAACAATAACAACAAAAACAAACAAAAAATCCCAGGAAATCAACATATTTCAAATCTACAGTCAGGAGTGAGACCCTTTCTGCGATTTTCACTTCAACATCAAGACCCACACAATGCTAAATCTTCACTTGGGTTCACATAGCAACACAGTGGTGATTGGTATGTTTTGGTCCAATGTTGGGATATTTGCACAGCCCGAGGGTCCTGTGAACAGTATTTAGCCATCAAATCACATTTTACAGTGTAACATGTAACAGCTAGTTAGATGAGACAAGCACCAATCCACAGCACTTAGTACTTTATCTGTACTAAACAATAAAATGTCAGTCTTAGTTGAAGAGCATGGAAACTTGTTTTCAAGTTAGTATTGGCTAGTGATTACTTTATCTTTTATACTTGGTTCAAATTAAGCTACCACCTGAGGAATTTGAAATTTATTAACTATCCCATTGCTTCATGAGAAGGTGCTAGGTGCACGCAGAGTCAAGAACAGGGTATATTTTCTTCATCCTTTTTTGTGGTTGCTTTCCCCACCACCCCTTCCAAATTTATTTTTCTGCATGTTAACTATGTGGACTGCAGAGGATCAAGGTTGGGTTCCCAGCATCCACAGGGCGGCACACAACTGCCTATAAGTCCAGCTGTAGGATCTCTGGTGCACTGGCTGGCTGTGTGTGCTGCAGTCACATGTACACACAGAATTAAAAATATTCAAATAAAAAATTATGATTCCTATGTGCTGTCTGATGTCACTGCGGTGACATCACATGGTATAATTTACAGCCTGATTAGGGCCTTTTAATTTGATTTTTAGGATTGGAGTCAGATTGCAAAGTGCTTTAGGAGCACACAGAGGATGAATGTGCACAATGTGTGATCTCCCCATGTGTGTTCAGTATTAAGGCAATGTTTCCTATGCTAATGTTACGTTATTTCCTACTTAATAGCAAACATCTACTGACAGGACTTGATTATAATCCTGCAATTTTATCTCCTGTATGTGTTTGTTTGTTTGAGGTACACAACCAAGTTAGTTTGCATATTGGAAAGCACTGGGAAAGCTCACTAAAAATTCGGCTCTGTACAAACTTTCATAGATGTTCCCTGCCTGGAACCTGAGTTTTCACGGACGGACATGGCTAGGAGAACAAAGTTGAGATGGTGAGAAGAAAATGTCATTTACAACAGAGGAGGGAGGGGCTTAAGGGGTGGATCCTTAAAGTTCCCTTCTGGGGATGTGGATACACTTGTGTTATCATAAAAAGGCAATCTTTGCACCCAGGTTGCCATGAGGCTAATGCTGTATGCAGAGTTCTGGCTTAATTTTAGGAAGGGATATTTTACTGAAAACATCTAAACTGGAAGATTTGAGGAAAGCCACACATTTGTGCTATATCTGAATAAGGGTCTACAGGGCATGTGGCTTCCTGACTTCCAAGTTTAAAGTGACCAGAAAGGAACTAAATAAACAAACAGTAACTAAATAAACAGTGCACACAAATGATTGCAAAATAGATAGAAAGGCATTTTAAAAATGCATATATCTCACCCTTTTTTTTGCCTGCAGGGCGACAGATTTTTCAGAAAGCTTTGAAAAATGAATATGTCACAGGCACATCAAAGTGCCAAATTTCCAGTTTGCACAATTTCTGTGCACATATACACTGACAGCTATAATCAAATGGGTCAAATTCAAACTTGAAAAGTTCAGTAGGAAAACACACAAACGAACGAACGAACGAACTAACTGACTAAATTCACAGCACAAACACAAGACTCATGAAGAAGGAGAAAACCTACAGTTTAACTATTTTTGCGAACTTCCCACTGGGCAGGTTTCCGGTTGTTGAAATGAGGCTGGGTTCCAAGGGTGATGATTATGTTGACTTTGCAGGAACCTGGATGCACATACCAAACCTTCTAGTTTCACAGCAAGAAACGGAAACATACAAGGAAAAAAAAGTTCTGCTCACTGGTGTGATGTGGATGTTTTCAGGGTTAGGTTAACCCCCCTCTGGCAAAGAAAAAAACAGGGAGATGGTTCAGTGATTGGCAACATTAATACTGAGTTACCTGTCAATCATATATAGTAAGAAACCCTGCAGACTGGTTAACTCAACATCCTCAGTTGCACTGAGTGTATTTTTCTCAACTACATGGTAAATTCAAAGCTATTCTTGGCGACATGACCCCCACCCTACTTTAGAATTCAGAAAAAAAACAAAAACAAAAATTTTACCTTGCAGACACGAGTTCTCATCCTCAGAAATTTTTGAATGTTTCCAGGTCTTTCTCAGATACGGAAGGGGTCTTGTCCAATTCCCTCTCTGGATAAGTTTCAAAGTTGGAGATGTCGCCATCACCAGATAACTTAGGCACAATGGGTGGCTGAGAGTCACGCAAAATAAATAAGCAAAGCAACAAATAAATAAAATAAGCGAATGAGGTGACACTGGGCAGCCCAGTGGGGACATATAGTGCCTGTCACTTGGAGTGTAAATTTTATGAGGGGCTGAAGGCACTCCAGTACTGTAGTCACATGGTGTACATGAACACAAAAATAGTACATGGCCATAAAGCACTAAATAAATGACAATAAACCTCTAGTAAATGAATTTGGAAGACTGAGACAGAGTAGTGGGAGCTCACTGGGTGGTTAGCACCATATATGAAGCTGTTCATTTAATTCAAAGGTATATGATAGTCCCACCTTCAGTTTTCTCTGTGGCACGGTCTCCCACTCCACACCTCGGAACCAGCGGTGCCGCTTGACGTCTTCTGCCCCGTTCTTGAGAGGAAACATATATATTCAGTAAAAAGCATTTGAAAAAAACTGTGTGTGCGCGCACGTGTGTGTGTGTGTGTGTGTGTGTGCATGTGCGTGTGTGTATCATGTCTGAAATCTCCCTCTAATAAAGCAGTTTAAAAATACAGTAAGTGGGCCGGGCGGTGGTGCACGCTTTTAATCCCAGCACTTGGGAGGAAGAGGCAGGCGGATTTCTGAGTTCGAGGCTAGTCTGGTCTACAGAGTGAGTTCCAGGACAGCCAGGGCTATACAGAGAAACCCTGTTGGAGAAAAACCAAAAAAAAAAATTACAGTAAGTGGCCAGGTTTGGTGGCACATGCCTTTAATTCCAGCACTCTGGAGAAGGAGACAGGTAGATGTCTATAATGTTGATGCCAGCTTAGTCTATACAAGAGATTTCCAGGACAGTCAGAACTATATAGTGAGACCCTGTCTTATAAATAAATAAATACTCTAAACAATAAAGAATATTAAGTCAACCATGAGTGGCGGCATATGCATGTCATCCCAGTCCTGGGGAGGTGAGTGGGTCACAAGTTCAAGGTTACACTCAGCTACTACATAGTGATTTTGATTGTAGCCTGGGCTACACAAAAACAGCAAATAGGGGCCAGAGAGATGGCTGTTCTTTCAGAGGACCCAGGTTCAGTTCACAGTACCTATATGGTAGTAGACAACCTCTTATACCTGCGGCTGCAGGAGACCTGAGTCCACTTTGGCAGGTAATGTTCCTGTGTCATATATACATAGAGTTAATATAAACAAACAAACAAACAAACAAACAAGCCAAAAACTAACTTAACATTGGGCGTAGTCTGGGATCCTCTGAGTGGATGACGTCATTGTCAGTGAGCAAACTGAAAGGATCTAGCATGACTCACCTTCATGTTGCCCAGGCGCCGGGTCCTGTCCACCACCAGCAGCTTCTTGATGAGGTCCCTGTGTGAACAGAGAAGACTCCACTTGGATCCAGAAAATGCCAGAATCAACTCAGGTGCTAATCCCACCCATACCACCACACATATCTCCATTATGGGAAAAGGACTTATCAGGTTTTGTGGGGAGCAGGGCAGGTAGACAGCTTGCACCCTGGGCTCCAACCTCTAACAATGACCTTAAACGGCTGACTTCCAGCCTCTACTTTCTACATGCCTGGGATGTAGACTAGCATTCCATTTACATGGTAAGGGATGGAGACTAGCCCTAGGGGCATGTTAGTGCCAACTGGGCCACCAGCACACTCCCCACTGAGCTAAGTACTCCGCCAAGTGAGCTACAAGTATTCTACGCTTGAGAGACAAGAGTTACAAACTGTCTACCAACTGAGGTGTAAGCATCCTCCCCACTGAGTTACAAGTACTCTGCCCATTAAGCTAAAAGCACTCTAGGTACTGAGCAGCAGGCACCCTACCCACTGAGCTACAAGCCCTCAGCCAACTCTGCCTCAAGCACTCTCTCCACTGAGTTACACACACTCCACCCACTGAGCTACAAGCCTTCCAGCCGGTGCATTTTGTCTGCAATCCTTTAGCACTTATCCATTCTAGTATCGTTCCTTCCAGTGTAATTAACTGAGGAGGCTATTTTGCAGACCACACCTGTGTTCATTTACATGGTTCTATACAGGGAAACTGAGTCTGCAGGCTGCACACACCTGTGGAATATTCTCCTGTGTCTTTATTGTGGATAAAAGACAAGAGAATGCAAAGGATGGTAAGGTGGATTAAATCAAAGACTTGGAGAAGTAAAGGCAGGGTGGAGACAGAATGCCATGGGTATGGCTGTGTGTGAATGTGTGTGTGTGTGTGTGTGTGTGTGTGTGTGTGTGTGCATGTGCACGCATGTGCGTGCATGAACACTCATATACCCAAATACCCTGCAATCCACAGAACCTATAATAATATCCAGCAGGGACTATATAGCTCAGTGAAAAAGATGTTCTTAACTCAGTGAGCAGAGTGCTTGTTGCTCAGTTGGTTGAGCGCTTATACTCAGAGAGCCTTCACCCAGCCCTGGGTCTCATCTGATGCATCACATACCCTAGATACTGGGGGCACAAGTCTGTTTGTCACCCTGTTGTTTGTCAGGAAGCTGAGGGAAAAGGATCAGAAGTTCTGGGCTATGTGGGATCCTGCTGCCTAACTAACTAAAGGAATAAAATAAACAATTGGAAACTAAGGCTCATTCTGGTTAGAAAATGCTCAAATCCGACCACATTCAAATCAAAGAAAGTTGAAGGTATTAATGTTTTATTTAACATACAAATATGTTCTGCTTTTTTCTTTTTCACCATTTTTGCCATAATCTTCATGAAATGCATGGTCAGCATGAATACTGAGCATTTGTTTTTGAAGCAGTGTGTTGAACTCTAAACATCTTACATCAGAACTGAAAGGGAGACATAACAACAGAAACTGAGGAAATTCAGAAAATCTTCAGTTCCTATTACAAAAGCCTATATTCAACAAAACTGGAAAATCTAGACGAAATGAACGATTTTCTAGACAGATACCAGGCACCAAACTTAAATCAGGTCCAGATAAACCATCTAGACAGTTTGAAAACCCCTAATGAAATACAAGCAGTCAATCTTCCATGCTCATGGATTGGCAGGATTAATATAGTAAAAGTGGCCATCCTGCCTAGAGCAATCTACAGATTCAATGCAATCCCCATCAAAATTCCAACTCAATTCTTCACAGAGATAGAAAGAGCAATCAATTCTCAACGTCATCTGGAATAACAAAAAAATCCCAGGACAGTGAAAACAATTATCAACAATAGAACAGTTTCTAGGAGAATCACTATCCCTGACCTCAAGCTGTATTACAGAGCAATAGTCATAATAACTGCATGGTATTGGTACAGAGACAGGCAAGTAGATCAATCAAATAGAATTGAAAACCCAGAAATAAACCCATACACCTATAGTCACATGATCTTTGACAAAGAACCTAAAACAATTCAGTGGGGAAAAAACAGCATTTTCAACAAATGGTGCTGGTTCAACTGGAGGTCTGTGTGTAGAAGAATGCAAATTGATCCATTTTTATCTCCTTGTACAAAGCTCAAGTCCAAGTGGATCAAGGACCTTCACATAAAACCAGATACACTGAAACTAACAGAAGACAGAGTTGGAAAGAGCCTTGAACACACTGGCACAGGAAAAAATTTACTGAACAGAACACCAATGGCTCAGGCTCTAAGATCAACAATTGGCAAATGGGATCTCATGGAACTGAAAAGCTTCTGTAAGTCAAAGGACACTGTCAATCTAGAGATTGGGAAAAGATCTTTACCAACCCTACATTCGATAGAGGGCTAAGATCCAATATATACAAAGAACTCAAGAAGTTAGACTCCAGAAAATCAAATAACCCAATTTTAAAATAGGGTACAGAGATAGAGAGAATTCTCAACGGAGGAATTCTCAATGGCTGAGAAGCACCTAAACAAATGTTCAAGATCCTTAGTCATTAGGGAAATGCAAATCAAAACAATCCTGAGATTCTACCTCACACCAGTCAGAATGGCTAAGATCAAAACCTCAGGTGACAGCAGATGCTAGAGAGGATGTGGAGAAAGAGGAACACTCTTCAACTATTTGTGGGATTACAAACTGGTACAACCACTTTGGAAATCAATCTGCAGTTCCTCAGAAAATTGGACATAGTACTACCTGAGGACCCAGCTATATGTTATATATTGTTATATGTTGGGCATATACTCAAAAGATGCTCCAACATATAACAGGGACACATGCTCCACTATGTTCATAGCAGCTTTATTTATAATAGCCAGAAGCTGGAAATAACCCAGATGTCCTTCAACAGAGTGGATACAGAAAATGTGGTACATTTACTACTGAGCTCTTTTTTTGTTGTTGTTTTTTTTTCGAGACAGGGTTTCTCTGTGTAGTTCTGGCTGTCCTGGAACTCACTCTGTAGACCAGGCTGGCCTCGAACTCAGAAATCCGCCTGCCTCTGCCTCCCAAGTGCTGGGATTAAAGGCGTGTGCCACCACCGCCCGGCTACTACTGAGCTCTTAAAAATGATGACTTCACAAACTTTGTAGGCAAAGGGATGGAACTAGAAAATATCATCCTGAGTGATGTAACCCAGACCCAAAAGGACATACATGATAAGTGGATATTAGCCCAAAAGCTCAGAATAGACATGATACAACTCATAGACTATATGAAGCTTAACAAGAAGGAAGGCCCAAGTGTGGATCATTCAATCCCATGTAGAAGGGGGAACAAAATAATCATGGGAGGCAAAGGGAAGGAGGGACCTGGGTGGGAAAAAAAAAGGAGGGCAGGACTAGGTATGGGAAGAGACAGGAGAGAAGTCCAGAGGGCCAGGAGAATGAATAGAAATAAGTAGCAGTGGGGGGGTGGGGAACTACTAGAAAGGCCCAGACACCAGGGAAGCAATAGGCTTCCAGAACCCAATGGGGATGACATTAGCTGAAACACACAACAGCAGGGATATAGAAACTGAAGAGACCACCTCCAGTAGATAGACATGGCCCCCAGTGAAGGGATGGGACCATCCATCCATCCATCCAAAATTTTTTACCCAGAATTGTCCTCATGTACAGGAAATGCAGAAACAAATATGGAGCACAAGCTGAAGGAAAGGCCATCAAAAGACTGTCCCACCATGTGTTCCATTCCATCCACAGACACCAAACCCTGACACTCTTGTTGATGCCAAGATGTGTTTGCTGACAGGAACCTGGAATTGCTGTCCTCTGAGAGGTTCTTCCAGTATCTGACTAAGACAGATGCAGACACTCACAGCCAACCATTGGACTGAGCCCAAGGACCCCAATGGAAGAGTTAGGGGAAGGGCTGAAGAGCATTGTAACCCCATAGGAAGAACAACAATAGCAACCAACCAGACCCCCCAGAGCTCCCAGGGACTAAACCACCTACCAAAGAGTACACATGGGTAGGTCTATGGCTCCCACTACATATGTAGCAGAGGACTGCCTCATTCGGCATCAGTGGGAGGGGAGGTGCTTGGTCCTGTAAAGGCCTGATGACTTAGAGAAAGGGGTAGTAGACGGGTGAGGTGGGATGGGGGTGGGTGGATGGGGGAGCACCCTCTTAGAGGAAAAGGGGAGGGGGATGGGGTAAGAGATTCGTAGAGGGGAGACCAGGAAGGGGGATAACATTTGAAATGTAAACAAATAAAATGATTAATAAAAAGGAATTCTTTATGATATGTACAATTTCAGTAAAAAGAGAAAAAAGAAAAATAATAAAGAAAAATGAACTCTTGTGGTGCCACAGAGATTCATTCATGAGGGGTTTTCCTAGCTCAGTAAATAAATAAAAAATACTATATTTACACATGCAAATGATCATGAAGAAGAACCTAGGGCCCCACTGTCTCCTTCAAGGTCCTACCTCCAATAAACTAACTTCTCCACTAAGCCCTTCTTAATGGTTCAAAGAAAAGTTAAAAATTTAAACAAGTTAAAAAGTTAATAAAGAAGCTGTGTATGGTAGTATATACCTTTTATCTCAGCATTCAGGGGTCAGATTCTATGAGTTCAAGGCTAGCCTGATTCTAGGCTAGCTAGGGCTATAAACTGAGACCCCTGTCTCAATAAACTAGTTAATAACTAATAAATGAAATAAACAGTTAGATGTATAGAGGGAAGGATGGATGGATGGATGGACAAACTGATCCCTTACACAACTGGTTCCAAATCTGCATTAATTTCAATACCATCTATCTCAAAAGAAATGAGATATGTAGCAGGCCCTTTGAATATTAAATTTCAGTAGAATGAGAAAAACTGAAACATTTTCCCTTCTGGTGGAAACAAATGACTGACAGAATTGCACTGATTCAGAGTTTGTCAGGAGTGTGTGCTTGCAGTGTGATTTCACACAACTCTGAAAATAGACATGGGGGCATGGCAGGAAACCAGGAGTACACTTACTTAGAGGTGAAATCCAATTGTCTGGGGAAATCTATTTTGCATGCAAGGATTTTCTGGTAAATCCCAAACGGGTTGTCATCAAAAAATGGGGGAAACCTGTCACAGAGAGAAGCATGGAAATTTAGTAGAGAGTTAAATACAAAAATCATATCTATTTTGTGCCAACTATTTTCGTCTAATGGAGGCAAAAAATATATTTGTTTGTGTGTCAAATGGATATGCTGCTCAATAACTGGTCACATGGCCATCTGAAGACAGATGGGAAACAGATGACCTTAGGAGATAGTATAGCCACAGGAGGAGAGGAATGGCATGGAGGGTCCTGATGGCCCCCAAAGAGCTTCAGTTGATAGCTCCCCCCCCAGGGGGGGGGGGGGGGGGGGGGAGGAGTGATCATTATAAACCTTCAAGAGGCCAGGCTTAGTGGGAAGAAGGTAGATTACTGGAGATGCGCTCTTCAAAGACACTGGGCCCCAGGTTTTTCTTCACAATCACTTCAATGTGAAAAAATAATTTTCTGTTGATTCTAAAGTATTCTTTTTTGAGAGTGTGTGTGTGTGTATACACACACACACACACACACACACACACACACACACACACACACACACATATAT